TTCCATGTAAGCCGCTTGTGCATCAGCATCAGTCAGGCAAGTGCACAGGCAAGCCGCTGTGGCTCAGTCAGGCAAGTACAAAGGCAAGCCGCTGCTGGTCTGTCAGGCAAGTACAAAGGCAAGCCCCCAGCATTTTCAGCGGAGCCGCTCCCGAAAGAAACGTCAGCGGTCTCGCGAAGCTTCTCGAGAAACTAATCGGCAGCACATTAAGCGAAAGTTGCCCCTGAAGCTTTCGACTTTTCCAGAGGCAGCGACCCCGCACGTGGAGCGGACGATGTTTCCAGACACTGCAGAAGACGAGGAGCAATCTTTTTCTGACATTAGCAGGTGGGCTGTTGCAAAGTGTCGGAACTTTCAAGAGCAGAGTTTTTACAGCCCCTCAAGTGGCAGAACCTGCTGGAATGTGGCAGCGCGTACAAGAACCCAAAGCGCTTCGGTCGCTCCAGTAACCCGACACTGCGCTGTTCTTCCCGCTCCTGTGATTACCGCTTGTACAACAGCAAGTTCTCTTACACTCCCTTTTACAAGTCCATGCGACGCAGAAGCGAGGCAGTTTTGAGCGAACGGCAGATGTTACAGCTGATGTGGTCTTTACGAACAACTTCGCTATGTTTACACATGCTGTGAAGTGGCTAGCTTTGTGGACGTAGATGGCACTGGCTTGAGCAAGCACAAGACACATCGGAAACGGCCGCGGTCCACTTCTGCGTCCTCTAAGCAGCCGCCGCCCAGAGCGCCCCGGACGCGTAAGCGCCCCGCTGCGCGGAAAAAGACGGTTCATGCTGGTCGCTTTTTCTCATGAGGGACAGGAAGAGTGACAAGAAGATATGGACGCCTCTGCCCGACCGTGTGCTTACAAAGGGCGCTCCGGGCCCGCCAGAGTGGAGGAAATCTTTCAGCCCATGCAGACTCATCTTCGCACTGACTGCGTCATTGGTGCAGATATAGGACATGCCATACAGACCGCGGCGAAGAACTTGAAGCTTCTTGCTTCCTCTGCTAAGCACAGCGCGGAAGTCTTCACGCCTCTAACTGTTTTTCAGAAGCGGAACTTGACGCCTGGCCAGGCGCGGACTATGAGAAGCTTTGCACAGAAGCGATCCGAGAAAGCTGCCGCCAAGCACGTCGTCCAGGAAACAAGCAGGGCTTTTCTCACTTTGGGGGGGGACAACCCTGCAGAAGCCACATTTGCCGTCGGCAAGAACCAACTAAGGCGGCAAAACAAGTTGGGCCGCACGAGTGCGGCCAATGCCGGGCGTGATTTTTTGTCTGCTCAGTGGAAGTTGGCTTTTCCAGGCTTGCGCCACTTGCTGCGAGCATTTCATACCTTCAAAGCGTATCACATGGATCGAATTGGGTTAAACCCTTTCGAGGCTTTTGACCAGGCAAAGCCATGGGACATCTTGTGACTGCTGAAAAGAATTGGTGGGTTTTTCGCGCTGGCAAGGCGTAGGCGAGGCCTTCCATTCTGCCTTCCTTCAAGCCATGCATGAGAAAGTGGCAAGTTTGTCGCAGCCGAGAAGGGTGGCTCGAAGTAGGGGGAGCGCTTCGGCCATGCAGTGGGTCATGTCCTTTGAACAATGTGCTGTTCCACTCTTTGCCCAGTGCAGCGGGCGTTAGCTTTCCAAGTGTCGTGCCTTTTCTAGATAGGTTTCTTTCAAGAGCTTTTTGCCATGGAAGGCAGCAGTTTTGGAGCTACTACCTTGAGGGAGGACCTCCAAGTCCTGCTTCTTCAGCTGATTCGCCGAAACATGCAAGGTATAAGCAGTGGCATCAGCGACAGCGCAAGGTGACATCAGCTTACATGTCTGTGGGCCAATAGAGTTGAGCGACGACAGTGAGTCTGATTCCGTTGCAGATATGGACGTGGACTCAAGCACGCCGACCAGTTCTGCTTTGGGCTTGGAGCTCTCGCCAGAAACTGCGTTGAGCCCCAGTGGCTCGTGCTTCGACGAGGTGGAGTCCATGGAGCCTGAAGATGGTGCTGGTGAAGACTGCGCTTCGTTATCTTCGATGCTCAATGGCGAACGCGCAGATGACCCCGTGGAAGCAGTTTTGATCAGGCACGCCCTGACCCTGAGCGTTACAACTTCCGAGCCCTGGAAGCGGTGCCTCCAAGCCGCTCAGACACGAAATGGGGACGCTGCCCTACGCATGGAGTTCCATGTAAGCCGATTGTGCATCAGTCAGGCAAGTACAAAGGCAAGCCGCTGCTGCGATGTCAGCGGTGGTGGGAATATGAAGGCAACAATCGAGTTTGTTGGCACTTCCAGATGTTTGTAGGGGACGCGCAAACATTGCCAAAGCAAGTGCGGGAGGATTTGCTATGTTTCAGGCGAGACATTCGCAACTCTTTGCAGCAAAACGCTGCAAAGACTGGGTCGCACAAGCCTTCCCACGGGTGAAAGACAAGCAATTGTACTGCATTTGAAGTACAGGTATGTATATATATATGTACATATGTAGACTACTTGGGTTTTATCGTATTTTATTGATATTG